GACAATAATGGTCAGAGATGTTAGAGTATTGTAATGATCTCACATCGGTTAGGGAGAAAGTTTTGGACTGCTTTAATAACCTATTGTGGTGTCCCCCACCTAATCGAGACCTTTTGAAGGGGTGCGGGGTTTCATGACCTGTGGGCTTGGGCTCCTCATCTCTTGTGGTTTCACCCACATCCAGGAACAAAACCCACAACCCAATGGGGCGGTTAACTGTGGGACAATATTAGTCAGAGGTGTTAGAATTGGTATCAGAGCCGACTCCCGACCCCGGTGTGCCAGCGAGGACGTTGGGTTCCCTAAGGGGAGTGAATTGTAATGATCCCACATCGACTAGGGAGGAAGTCTTGGGCTGCTTTAATAACCTGTCGTGGTGTCCCCCAATTGACCTAGGCCTTTTGGAGGGATGCAAAGCTTCATGACCTGCGAGTTTGGGCTCCTCATCTATTGTGGTTTCACCCAACTCCAGGAACAAAACCCACGGCCCAATGGAGCGGTTAACTGTGGGACAATATTAGTCAGAGGTGTTAGAGTTATTGTAATGATCCCACATCGGCTAGGGAGGAAGTCCTGGGCTGCTTTAATAACCTGTCGTGGTGTCCTCCACCTGACCGAGACCTTTTGGAGGGGTGCGGGGCTTCATGACATGCGGGTTTGGGCTCCTTATCTTTTGTGGTTTCACCCACCTCTAGGAACAAAACCCACGGCCCAATGGGGCGGTTAACTGTGGGGCAATGTTGGTCAGAGGTGTTAGAGTTGGTATCAGAGCCGACTCCCGACCCCGGTGTGCCAGCGAGGACGCTGGGTTCCCTGAGAGGGGTGGATTGTAATGATCCCACATTGGCTAGGGAGGAAGTCCTAGGCTACTTTAATAACCTGTCGTGGTGTCCCCCACCTGATCGAGGCCTTTTGGAGGGATGCGAGGCTTCATGACCTGCGGGTTTGGGCTCCTCATCTGTTGTGGTTTCACCCACCTCCGGGAACAAAACTCACGGCCCAATGGGACGGCTAACTGTGGGACAATATTGGTTAGAGGTGTAAAAGTTATTGTAATGATCCCACATCGGCTAAGGAGGAAGTCTTGGGCTGCTTTAATAACCTGCCGTGGTATCCCCCACCTGACCGAGGCCTTTTGGAGGGGTGCGGGGCTTCATGACCTGCGGGCTTGAGCTTCTCATCTATTGTGGTTTCACCCACCTCCAGGAACAAAATCTACGGCCGAATGGGGCGGTTAACTGTGGGGCAATATTGGTCAGTGGTGTTAGAGTTGGTATCAGAGTCAACTCCCGACCTCGGTGTGCCAGCGAGGACGCTGGGTTCCCTAAGAGGGGTGAATTGTAATGATCCCACATCGGTTAGGAAGGAAGTCCTGGGCTGCTTTAATAACCTGTTGTGATGTCCCCCACTTGACTGAGACCTTTTGAAGGGGTGCGGGGCTTCATGACCTGTGGGTTTGGGCTCCTCATCTGTTGTGGTTTCACCCACCTCCAGGAACAAAACCCACAGCCCAATGGGGCGGTTAACTGTGGGACAATATTGGTCAGAGGTTTTAGAGTGGGATTGTAATGATCCCACATCAGCTAGGGAGGAAGTCCTGTGCTGCTTTAATAACCTGTCGTGGTGTCCCCTACCTGATTGAGACCTTTTGGAGGGGTGCGGGGCTTCATGACCTGCGGGTTTGGGCTCTTCATCTGTTGTGGTTTCACCCACTTCCAGGAACAAAACTTATGGCCCAATGGGACGGTTAACTGTGGGACAATATTGGTCAAAGATGTTAGACATTTGCTTCGTATTTGAAAGAAGCAAATGTTTTACCCTTGAGAACTTCAGTTGCACGACTGACCCACAAAACAAAAGTTAAAGGAAAAAATAGATAAAGTATTTTGGTTAGTTGAGACATGAATTAGGTTGCTCTCATCTCTTTCGAGATTATGTCCGATGTCAAAGCTTGATGCCACGTTGCTTTTAAGATGCAACAACGTACTCTTCATTGTTGTTTTTGCTAAGTCTACGCGATCCAGAGAAGTTAAAACTTTATATAATACCTTGCTAATGCCTAATGAAATAATTTGAGGAAGAGAAGTTGACAATAGATAGAGATATACAAAGTATGAAAGACTAGATTTGCAGAACCGTATATTTATAATAGGAGTTCCAAATCCCAACATTAAGTAGAACAAATATCTTATTTTTTTTTCAGCTATAATTTGAAATAATCTAGATTCATTTTGTAACGGTAAAAATTATTATGTGAGTAAGTTATACTTGGAATGATTGTACTACAGCTGAAAATTATTAGATTACTTGTAACTTGTAGTGTTTGAATTCAACAAATAGACATCCGACATTATTTTTAGGGTTAATATCAGAAACCTCCCTTGAGGTTTCTTCTAATCACATCTAGCACCCCCCATGTTTTTGAAATCACACATAGCACCCTTGGAATGACAACTTTGGTATCTTGTCAGCCCCTCTATTTGAAAATGGTAGTAAAAAATGAATTGTAGGAGAGAGACTTTATTTTTGTTCCACTTTTACCCAAAATCCCAAAATGATTAGTAAATTTTAGAAGATAAAAATAGAAATAAATAGGCATATGATATTAATTTAGAAGCTGAGGGTGTAAAAGTGTAATAAAAAGAATGTTATAACTAATTATCAGAGATTTTGGCGATATAGAGATGCATAACTAATTATGGACCTGGGGCCGGAACGTTTGCACTCCGGAAGCTTGTGTGCATTTTGTACACGGTGTAACATCATTTGTACAAGTTGTAACACTAGAACAACAGCGAGTAATTATACTACCTTTAACATTAGTAACCGTCCCATACGGTGTAACATCATTTGTACACGTTGTAACACTAAAACAACGAGTAATTATACTACCTTTAACAGTAGTAACCGTCCCACACGGTGTAACATCATTTGTACACGTTGTAACACTAGAACAATAGCGAGTAATTATACTACCTTTAACGGCAGTAACCATCCCTGCCCCTCTCCACTAATTACATAGTCCATGATACTACATTGGATCAGTCTAGTAACATGATACGTAAGCCTTATATTGCAATTCAATTCTGAACAAAAACACCATCTACAACTAGTTGTTTAGATGGTGAGGATTGCAATGCACAAAACTATACACAAGTAGTTCTAAGATTAGTCAAACAGCACCATAAGTGGCAGGAAATATAAATCAGATGCACATTGCACCACTTATCAAAAAATTGTCCACAAAAGCTAACATTGCTTCAGTATTGCTGGGAGCTAAGAAGACTAGTACCTAAACTACTTCAGATACCAAAAGCAAGGATTGCGGGGAACCTTTAGCACTCTCAAAACATCATAGAGAAACTGCTGGTAATAGTGTTAGAGGCCACTATTGCAGCAGTATTAATGCTAACAGAAGTTTCGGCTTGAGATCCACCATTTAGAGTAGTTTGAGCATTTGGTACAAAGGGAATTATGCCTTGCTTGTTTACAGCAGCATTGGTTTTCATTGAAGGCCTTCCTCTCTGCATCAGAAAAGAACAAATTTAAACTTTTTTGCAGCAAAACTTTAAATTACTCCAGTAGTGCACTAGTTCTGAATTTTGCAGCAGCAATGTATGACATTATAATGCTTACCCTCTTAGTAGAAGTGCTTGTGCTAGCCTGCAAATTAACTTGCACATTGACAGCTGCATCTTGTTGGCGAAAACTTGGATTACTTGGATTAGTCAAAATCAACGAATATCACATGGTCACAACAAAAGCTGCTCTCTGTGATAAAAAAACAATCACTCATGGCTTCATTTTGACAAGATCAAAAACATCAAGAGTACTATTTTCAAATTTAATATGCAAGGACAGCCTGTGAAGCTTACCTGTTTTGTTGAATCCAAAATTGAAGGTTAAGCTGAAAATCCACGACTTCAAATGCACTCGAACTTTTCCTTCCACCCAAAAACGACGCTTTCAACTACATAGGTTCTATATTCCTTCATCACTGCACTAATTTGCAACTAATCATCAGCAATCTCTTCCTAATTCTACCAGCACATAAGCAATTTTGAGTTTAAAAAAAAAAAAGTACAACTTACCTTTCAAGTTGTCTTACTTGTGAAAGCTTTTATGGTTATCATGGTTATATATGCAGAAAATGGCGCTCAAATTGTGCGCCAAAACAATGGCATTTTTGTTATTTTTTGGTTTCCAATCATTTTTCTTTTTCATTATTTTTTTCCAGCATTTCCCCGCTTAAAAATTTGCCTGGTGTTGGTGGTTTTTGGGTAATTTCTCACCTTTTGATCAGGACAACCTGTCACATCCTACTGCCAGGGGTGCTAAGTGTGATTTCAAAAACATGAGGGGTACTAGATGTGATTAGAAGAAACCTCAAGGGAGGTTTCTGATATTAACCCTTATTTTTATTAAAATATATGACAAGCAGTCTTTTGTTTTGAAGAAGATAGTGATCTCTTCCGAATGCGTCTTATCCTCTCTTAAAATAATATGTAAATTCAAACTTTTTACGACATTGACGAGTGTATATGGTACAATGGAAGAGCTTAAAAGTGCGAATGTGGAGGCGAGTCAAAGTTGTTCATTTTTTTTCGGCAAACCCGTATGAGGAGAGGGATGCTAGTCCCAAATTTTATTTGTTCAGCCAGAAAACAAGTGTAGGAGGGAGCCTATACCTGCCCTCTTTTACAACCAAAGAAGGCAAGAAATAAGGAGTACTACTTCATTTAAAGAACGTATATAAGCTGGAAAGAGGATGCCAAAACATGGTTATCCTCGATGTGCATTGCACGTGATTTTGTGTGAGAATTTTTTTGTTTTGATTAATATTCTTTTGTGTGTCGGAATCCAAGAGAGATTAATAGAAAGGCTCTTCTTTTGTTGTCTTGGAAGTTGGAACGAAAAAGGTTTAGCATGTATGTATTCCGTATAAAAAGCATAAAAAAGCAAAGCATGCATCTGTTGGGACTCTCTGTCCAATGTGCCAAGTACCACTTCTCACATGTTTCACCGCCACCCTCTCAGAAACTTTCTCAAAGTCTCTCACTTCTCAAAATTTTTTCCCCTGCTCTTCGTTTGCCCCACCAGAACATATTAGAAAAAAGGCAGATGACTCCTTTGTCTCACTCATTCCTTCTCACTTCTTTGTTAATGGCCGATTCCTCTCAAGCTTTCTCTTCAAATAACAGTAAAGGGGAAACAAAGATGAAGGGGAAAGATGTTTGATTCATCTCAGTCATCTGAATCATTTTTTTCCCCAAATGTAATCATGGTAAACTTTCACCCCTTTTGCCTATGTTTAATGTCCTTGTTTTCTTTCTTTTTTTTCGGTAACATTTTCCTTCTTTGTTTTGATTCATTCTCTCCAAACGCAGGAGCAAGAACCATCGTCCCTCTACTAAGATGTGGAAAAATCTGATATAGGTACCCATCATATCTAGAATTTTTTACCTTCATAAACAATTTCGTTGACAAATTTCATTTTTTGTGGGTTTTATTGGAACTTTTTTTTCAGAAATATGTGTCCATTTATTGTTTATTTAAAGTTTGCCATTTAGGTTAGAGAATTTATTACAAGGTAAGGTTTGTCTGCCCTCATTTCTTATTTTATTGCATATATTTTATCTATTTTTTTTCTTTCTTCTACTTTCTCCTTAGCTTAGAGCATTTCAAACCATTAATGAAAAATTTTAGGAGGTCTAAAAGGAAAAAAGGGAAAAATTAGAAAGGTTCTTCTCACGTGAGTTTTTTACTATTTTTAATTTCCAATGGTAAAATTCAAGATGAACAAATAATTTTATTGTTTGACAAGTAAATAAGAAATGCAAAATTTTTTCTTTCCATTATGCCCTAATTACTTACTCTCTTGCAATATGTTTTATATGTCCTTTCTTCCTAATATTTCTTTGGCACATAGCATCTCAGACCATTATTGACAAATTTTAGATAATTTCTTCTCACGTGAATTTCTACCCTATTCTTATATACAATGGTGGAATTCAAGTTTAAAACGTAATACCTTTACCTTTCAACCAATATTTTTTCTTCAGCAAGAATAACATGCAAATGTCTCGCTGTTGGAGCTCCTGTTTTCTTGGCACCTTTTTTTTCCTTTTAGATTTGTTATTAGTTTTTTTTTCCAGTGTTGTAGTTGCATGTTTGAAGATTTTGTCATGGATTACTAACATTCCTCAGTGGGTGAATGGTAAGTTTTATGGAACTGAAAAGTACTTGTTATATATTTTCGTTTGATTGATAAAGAAAATAGTTAGCCATCTTTCTTTAAATTTGAGGGATTTCTCAATTTTATGTGGTGCTTTAAGGCTGTAAATTTTGGCTCTTGTGCAATATAGCAGAAAGTTACTCTATTCCCTGAGTTTGTTCTTGAGCATGGTAAATATTCAATGCATTTTAGTTGGCTTTACTTTAGGTGGTTTTACTCCCTAGCTCTTTCGAATGGATCAAGAACAAATGGTCACTTGCGAAAAGATTATCTAGAAATTTTGGAAGTGGGAAATGTCATTTGATTTTAAGTTTCTTTTTTTGCTATTTTTTTCTCTGGATTTTCGGCTTATTTGATTTTGTATTTTTTTTTTCTTTTTCGTGGTTATCTACTATGTAGTTTTGTATACAACTCTTGGCTCACAAAAGGCAATCTGTGAGATGTCTCAAACAATGAGTTGAAGTAGTAATAACATTATTATTTTTTTACAGACTATAGATTATGTATCATTAACTGGAAATGGATCATATTGCTACATCATTATTATATTTCTCTTTTACTTTGTAGTCACTATCTAAAAATTTTCATACTTCATTGCATCCATCCAAAAAATTGCTCTTCTTTTGTTTTCGAAACTTATTTTTACTCATCTTACCTATCTTTGTTTGATTCCTTTTTAGGTGAAAATTTGAGCCAGAGGTGATGGTAATTTTACTAGAAGCTTTAAGATTTTAAATGATTAACTCGTAAATGCTTCAAATTGAATAGCAAGAGGTATATCTACACTTCCTTCAGGGTTTGCCTCAATGTACTTGATTATACAGATATACTATGGGAAATTCTATGTAAAAAACTCCACAATTAAATAAAATTTTTCTTAACTTTCACCCTTTTGTTTGCCTAGACAAAACATGAAGGAACTTCATTATGCAGTTTATTTTTGATATTTTCTTAACTTCAACAGGCTGATATTTTTTCCTGCCTGTAAGCTGACATGTAATTGATCTTTTGGAGGTGATGATCTGATGAAAATAGAGGGATATTTGCTTGTGAATTAGCAATCAATAGCTGCTTCGAGTTCGTCTGTTTCTGAAACCAATCATAACTACTTGTCCATCTCCTTGGTATTTATGCTATCGGAATTTTTTATCTTTCAGGATTTTGATTGCGTGTATCGTATTAAAAATGTGGAGTTTCATTCTAATCACCACATTGAAATATGTAACCTACTTCAGGATACATGTCATTTGGGTCGATTTAGGTAGTGATGAACTACCATATATTGGTTTTGATGTCGTTTGGGTAGATTTTGCTACGTCACTTCCCCTGCTGTCCTGGGATTTGAATTTGTTGCCTCCACTGGAGCATTATGGCTTTCAACCTACTTTTACAGCAAAAAGGAAATTGTGTATTCAAAAATAGAATTGACTTTATTCAACCTACCTTTTTGAATTGTGTATTCAAAAATAGAAAGAAGGGGCAAAGTTTGAGAAATTGACTAGGAATTGACTTTATTAGTGAAAAAAATTTGAGTTTCAGTTAAGGTGATTCTTAGTATGTTCTTCCCAGCAACTGCAAAACTTTTTCTGCCAGCAATGTGCTAACCCAGTGGTCCACCTTTTGGTTTTTTGCAAGGGGGCAAGGACGTTTTTGCTTGCATGATGCTAGATAATAATCCCATTTACCAAGCTTTTATTGTCTCCAAACGAGGCTAGAATCATTGGAGTTCATAGTAAGCTTTCCTAATACAACCTGAGAACCTAAATTGTATCCTACCCTGTTTCTTTAGCAAATGCTCTCTCTACCTCTCTCTACATCAGAGACACACACTACACCCTGTTTTTTTTATTTCCTTCTATAGTTTCCTTTTTTCTGTTTTTAAATAGACTAATAGGTCATCTACATGTTTTTTGAACACCATCAAATGTTCAAACATGTTAGAGATGCTACCTCGATTTTGTTGACTTGATATATGATGAATCAAGAAGCCAATTATATTTTAAGAGATGCCATACACCTACTTAGATCAGAAGTTGTAGTGGTTTGACTGAAAAATGTTGTTCACATTTTGGTTGTTGATTATTATAGAAATTGGCTACTGTCACGTTGGCTAAGGTCCTAAGGATAACTTGAGACGCGGTGAAGAGGAGGATGATGATGATGTTGCTATTCAAGAAAAGGCAAGGCAGCCAGATAATTGGAAAAATAAAAAATGATAACCTACATCGTGTTGGCAGTCAGAAGCTCAATTGTTATAGAGATTATTTTCATGTGGATAGTAATTCTTGTAATGTTAGTCTTGTATTTTAAAGATAAATAGATAAGTTTTAACTTCAGTAGCAGTGAAAGTCTAATTATCCATTTCTTAGCTTTTATCATACATTTGTTTTACTAAATAATAATTCAAATACAACAAATTAATTTCTTTTCTGTGAATATCAAAATTGACCGATGTCCAGCTATTATTCAATTGTGGATTAACCCTACTAAATATCCTATAACAAAAAATATTATTCTTATTTATGACTTAGTTTTTGTTAAAAGATTAACACATTAACATACTTAAAACAATATTATGCAATTTTTTTCATATATAATATTCATAACTATTAGCCAAAACTGGGTTGGGCATACTTATGATTTTCCACCATGCGCAAGCATGGTGAACATCTGCTAGTTACATTTTGTAAGCGAGTGAGCTTAGCTTAGGCCTTTCCCAACTGAGAACATAACTCATGTTGAACATAACTCGATTGAGCTTTGCTCTAGCCCTCTATGTTGATCATATTGATTCTGCACCCTAAGCATTTCTTGTTCAGCTATCTAGATTTGACGCCCAATGTGACCAAAAGTATGATGGTTCCATGCCTTTAACGCTTTGCGCAACCTCATCAATTTAGCAAAAAAGCAACCTTACCATAAGCCTGCACTAGCTGAGACGGACAAGGGGCACAAACGGTTGCAGGTGCAACCGTTTGTACCAATTGTGTGCATTTTGCACTGCGCGTAACATCGGTAGCACACGGTGTAACTTTCTTCACGGTGTAACTTTCTTTATACATAACGTAATTTTAGAACACTTTTTTGTGGGACCCACACATGGTGTGAAAATCGAATTACCACATGTGATCTGAGCCGCACAAATTTTTGGGCCAAAATCACAGCCGTGAACTCGCAGGAACGGTTGTCAGAGACAACCGTTCCTGCCCCATTTCCAGCTGAGACCAATGCTGACGCACGACATTTAAGAAATCTTGGTGCTTCAGCCACCCATTAAGAAATTTGAAAGACCCTTTACCCCGCGAGCCATTAGAAGATTTGACCAATAAAGAGGAATGATCAGATCTTCCTCTACCTAAATGTGTTCCATGCACAAAACTAAAATCCATATTCCAATCAGCATTCATTGCCACTCTGTCAAGTCGCTGCCATACACACTTATTTGTCCAAATAAATTCTAACCAATCAAACAGCACCTCCGAAAGTCCCGCATTTGTCAGAGCCATAACAAAGTCGTCCATATCTCCTATCCTTGGCGGAGCGCCTCCTCTTCCCTCATTAGCTGATGCCATTACATTGAAGCCCCCCTCCCACCATCCAGGGGCCAGTTATCTCTACTGATCGAGCCTCCAAAGCTGCCCACAATGGACGTCTAGCAGTCCTAGAATGCTTCCCGTAGAACACAGAGAAACATGTTCAAAGTTGTAAACCGAATTCAAGTGCTACTAATTTACTTTAGTTTTAGTGTTTTCCTGCTCAGACTTGGAAAAAAAAAACATTTGGTTTAGTGTTTCGATAACCTCTGTGTTGCTAGCATCTTATATGAGTTTTAGAAACAATGGTTGACTTTGTTACAGTGAAACTCAAATTGGCGAGGTAATTGTAATGTTGAAAACTGTTAAAGAAATGGAGATTTGGGAAAATTGTAAACATTCATATACAGTTTTCCCGAATCATATACAAAGAATTATGCCTATATACAAAGATGCAAAATTGTAAACTCAAATAGGCATATTTGTAGGAAAATTCATATACAAAGAATTATGCCTATATTTATAGGCTTATACAAAATGAATCTAAACAACTATTACATTGAACCTAGACTAGTTTATATAAAGAAACTTCTTAATTGATGCTAATCAGCTAATTGATACACTAAATTTCTATATTAATATATGGATTTACTTTTTATGCATTGATAGCACAGTGATTTTTTACACTAGTAGTTATGGATGTATGCTACATGTACATGATTTGAATTTTAAATTTGAATTCATATTATATAGTATGATTTAAACCTGTTAGTCTAAAAGAAAATTATACACTAACAGTGTATTAAAAAGTTATCCTTAACATATTTACATTAACAAAAATATAGGGAACTAATTGAAATTGTCCAAAATGTCAAAGTAGGATTGCAAAATTACCAAAATTTAATGAAGACATTACCACAGAATAAACTCTATCAGATAGCAGTGCCTATGTTAAATCTTGTTGGCATCCTTTCATATAATTGTTATATGATGCCAATTTTTGCGGCTGAAGTGTTTAACCAAGAAAATGCCTGCCCCGAGATGTGCTGATAAAACACAGGAATCAAAGTTATAGTGACATCTCAGTTTGCTCCTAGTTGACTTTGTATACCACCAAAACGCAGACACTGGTTGCAATGATCTTCACGAGCAGCAATACGAAGAAATGAAGCAGAGAGATTTATCTATGATCAAATAACTAAGCAGAATCATCATTCTGGCAAAGTAAACAAAGATTTAGCCAAGAAAAGCAATAAAACAGTCAGCTGAAGAGAACTAGCTATGGTAGTAGATCATTAGCTGGTTTAGATTTTAGCAATGTCAGGACTATGCCCAATTTTACTCCAAATAATCTTCTGAACTTCTCCAATTCTGCCTTTTGTCATTTTAAAACCATTCATATTCTGAGTATATCTCATTTTTGTTTTCTAGCCTTAATGAAGTCAAGTGATTTTCTCGTTTTCAGTGGCACATACCCTAGTTAGTCATATAAGAACTCATTCTTGTAATAGATATATTTCAGATAGCTAAGATAATTTACAGGAAAATACCAAGCTTCATGCCCCTTGTTTTTGAATATTAAGGAGTCCCTTTGTCAACCAAATTGCTGTTTCTCTTGATGATACAGCTTCTTCCCCAAATGGCTTCAACACCCCAGCAAGTTCTTCAATCCTTTCCCGCTTAAGTAGCTTTGCACAAAGTTCAAGTAATGATTCCAGGGCATCTGCTCTTTCTTGGCTTGCTGTATCTAATTTCATTCTGAGTTTGCTGATATGTAGAAAATTTTGCATGCTGATTGATGACGTTTCACCAACTTCCTGACTTAGATTGCTACTGTGAACATTTTCTGCTCTCATGGAGGACTGTTGATCATTTACTTTAGCTCCTCCTTGATCTCTTGAAAGTCCAGTTGAGGTGTTTTCTGTAACTGAAATCATAGAGTACGATTTTGAGAATTCCTCTCTATAATTTCTCGAGGATGGTCCTGGGTTATGTTCTAGAGCCACTGTAGCTTCTGGTGATGTTTGCTCTTCGTCTTCAAGAAGCCAATTAATGTATAGAGACACATGTGGCTTTTCCATTCTTCTGTGCAGTTCCTGTAAACCTCCAGCCTCAGATTCTCCATAAATTTTTTGAGGTGCATGGGCTAATTGTTCTGTATCTTCATGCTGATCAGTTAGAGTGCTGCTTGACGAGGTTCTGGAATTGAAACCTTTTGTTTTTCTTATGTAATTGTAGCCTGCTCTATCACTTCCATCAGTTTTAGGTATTTTCTTGAAAGAGCCAACATACTGCAACTGCATTGTTTCACTGCTGGCTTTTGGGATCTTGGATGCAGGCAGTTTAGCTCTGACTACATTACCTTGGAGCAGGTTGATATTTCTATTGACTGCTTCAACACCTTGCATCTGTTTTACCAGATTCTCCTTTCCAGATTTTCCATCCTTTCCTAACTTGGGCTTGCCAGACAGTTGACCCTGCGGTGCCTTGTGTTTTGAATTCTTTGTAGACTTTATTGGAACGAAGACTGGAGATAAGTTGTGGTATTGAGCAATGTATGGCTGTAAATGCGGATGCCTCAAGAGCTCTGCTGCCTAATGCATGAAATGAGTGAATTAAGTGATTGCTTTTAATATATTGGGTGATTGATAGTATTGCTACTAACCGTTGGTCTGTGTTCAGGATTTTTCCTAAGCATGCTTCTGATCAATTGCTTCCTGATGAGCAAGGGAACATTATCTCATCTTTTCCATTAGCCAAGCTAATAATTTTACAACAAAAATACCTTCTGCAAATACTGATAGGGAGTCATTGGAAGTATTAAATAATGAAAATGTTATTCACTTACAATGTGGTGGAATACACTGTTGGGATTGGAGATACTGTCGACTTAGTTATTCTGTTTACAAGTCCAGCCATATCCTGTTTCAGTAATGTTCTAAAGGGTCATTCTCTATGAATTTGACTAAGAAAGTGGCGGGTAATTAAAGAAAACTGACAGAGGTAGATCATGCTGAAACTTACAGAAGCTCTAAATGGTGGTTGGTGAGCAGCAATCTCAAACATACAGCAGCCTGAGAAGTTGGAAAACTCATTTGTGGTGAAACTTAGGGCACCAAGCTACCAAGCTCCCAAAGTTGAAGAACAAGTTTAATAGAGCAAAGAACTAGTGTAGTTACCTAGGGACCAGATATCAGATTTGTAGCCATAAGGTAAATCTGCAAGGAGCTCTGGGCACATGTAGTTTGGAGTGCCAACCACCTAGATGGTACACACAAGCAAAACCATTTAGATCCATGCAAGCTGCTAGTTGACCAAAATTTTTGTAGTCTAAATACTATATTAAGGAAGTCACATCAGATTAAAAGAAAGAAGGGAAAAAAAAAAAAACAGAAACTAAGTTACAGATGCAAATGCATTGTTTAGATCATTGGATAATTAAGATTTCAGGTTAAGTTCCTCCAATACCTCTGTGGTTCTTCAGTTTGGTTGATTAACATCATGGTTGACTAGAACTTCTTGATTCAATGTGCATTATGGTACGGTGCTTGCTTAGTCAACTAAGAAGATCAATTATAAGGAAGTGTTGGCCATAGGAATTGCTGGAATATGAAAAACAGCAAAGAAACAAAAAAAGAAGGCCCAGGAGATCTATTCCTTTACTACGAGCTCTACCTTCCAAGTACATATTTGTAGTAAACGCTGCCTATTCTGAAACCTCTTCGTTCTTCCCTTTGATTCTTTTTTAGCTTTTCTTCCCTTTGAATATTTGTTTACTAATTAATTGATTACTTGATTTGTAAGGGGACTTATATGTTTATCATTTTA